AACCGGGGATTAAACTCAGGCCCTTGCACATGCCAGGCAAGCGCTTATTCTATTGAGCCATCTCCCTGGCACTATGAAGTTCTAATTACACACTCTCATCAAATTTGCTCAAGAAATGCAAATTGAGGGATGAACCAATAGCTCAGGGGATTAAAGCACTTGCTTTTTTTTTTTTCAGAACCAGGGATTGAACTCAGGCCTTTGCGCTTGCTAGGGAAGCACTTGTTCCACTGAGCCATCTCCCCAGCCCCAAAAGCATCTGCTTAGACAGGCATAGGCAAGAGGGTTCGATCCCCAGTGTGCAGTGCTGGCCCCACTGCCAGCGTGTGCTGAGAAGGTGATGCAGACTGGACAGGTGGCACAAGTGCGTAATCCCAGAGTTTGGGAAGCTGAAAACAGGAGGATCACTACAAGTCCGATCAGTGCACTGAGACCCTGTAGACCCTGTACTGAGTTACATAAAGAAAAAGAAAAAGAAATAGAAGGAATGCCCACTGCTTTCAAATCCTCACTTTTACAGCCAGCAAGTGACTTCAGTCCCTAGGGGGTCAGCACGACTGCACTGCACAAAGTCCTTCGTGGCCTCAGGACCATGCCGCGTTACTCTCTGCTTTGAAATACTCAAAGTGAAAGTCCACATCGTCCTCAATGAAGCCTGTTAACATGTTTCACTACATGGAATAGGACTTTTCAGATGTATGCCATAAGACCTCGATATGGGAAGACTGTCCCGCTTCACCAGAGTGAGCTCTGGGTCACCACAGAGTGCTGTGAATGGAACAGGGAGTTGGGAGCTGTGCAGAGGTGAACAGGGAGTTGGGAGCTGTGCAGAGGTGAACAGGGAGTTGGGAGCTGTGCAGAGGTGAACAGGGAGTTGGGAGCTGTGCAGAGGTGAGCGAGCGTACCGCATGTGCAGCGATGAAGGTGACTCAGCAGATTCCAAAGTCAGGGGAGGGGCGAGCAAGGAAAGAAGGAAGGAAATGTAAAAGGATGAGACTTCAACACTGGCAGGAAGAAAACACAGATAGATGACAGAGAAACATGATTGATAGACAGACAGACAGACAGACAGACAGACAGACAGACAGACAGGAAGACAGAGATAGACAGAGGGATATCTTATTAACTGACACAATTCTGGGAGTAAAAGAAAATTACCAGACTAAAGATAATTAAAAATTTTTTGAACTCTAAAAAAAATTTTCACAAAATTATTTGAAGTTAAAACTAAGGGGAGGCAGGTGACTTAGCCAATAAATAGCAGTAATAAAAGTGGAATCCTAGATGAACTGCAAGGAATATTCATTGAAAGATCAAAGGGGACTATATGAGAAAAAAAGAGCCACATGCATAGGTCTGGCTGTTTTATATAGAAAACTAAAGCCATTAAGCATCCAAATATCATGTGAACAAACATATGTGGATTATGGAAGCCATCATTAGGAGGAATGTTCATATCCAGAGACGGCTTCTCCTGAAACACTGGAGATGCTCAAGTCGGGAGTGTCTGTGGAACATCTCCCAGCGCGGCTCACACAGCAGCCACCTTCACACTGCACTCACAGGCCTCTAACTGAGCGGGTCCCCACCCAAACTGCTGGAAAGGTCGCTTTGCTCTGCTTCCACTGAGGTTCAGATCTCCAATAAGACATCTCTGCCTTTCCAGGTAGGACCATGAAGAGAGATCATCAGCAACTGCCCTTTGCTGACTCTTTTGTCTTTCCACAGAAAAAATCTGCAAGACGCCCTCGTGCTGCTGATTCACACAGCAGGCCAGGTCCTCTGTTTTGCAGAAGTTAAAGGAAATGACCCCATCTTGAAGAGGGTGACTGACACAGGGTCATCCTGGTGGAGTCACATCAAGGCTTGTTGGTCCCCTTACAGCCCCCCAGCCTTGCCTCTTAAGTTCACCAAACACACTGCAGGCATTAACTTCACTTAGACAAACACAGCCACTGCAGAGAAGCAAATAGTTTATCTTACAAAGGCCACTGGGAGAAAGAACTACACTGTTTGGAAAGACAGGTGATAACTAAACATTTGAAAGTAATTTGTAAAAGTTTTTAAGTGGAAGATTGATTGGACAGAGGCACCAGTACAGACCTGAGAGGACGGCTTCCTGCTCATGCAGTTGATGCCCCCGATGAAGACCATGTTGGGCATGATGGGCCTGGGGTATTCCAGCACAAAGTCCCATCTCATCAGCCACACGGAAGCATGGCTGAGAACATCCACCACAGACACCTCTCTCTGGAGCAGCTCAGAGGCCATGCTTGCATAGGAAGAAAACCCAAAGTGGCACAACAAATTAAAGCCCAGAGGATAGACCATGTTGTTGACTCTCTGCAGGAAAGTCATGTGGTCAGAGTATGTTGTGAGCCACTGTGGAACATAGGACAAAGGCTGCGGACACTGTGTGCCTTCAAAGTCCAGGCCACCAGCGAGGCCCCGTAGGAAAAACACAGCAGGAATATTCAGATACAGGGCCAGCACTGCCCCACAAGGAAAAACAGGGTCTGTCAGCACCACATCGAAGGAACTGGCCTTCAGTTGGCTGATCAGCGTACTGTTATGCAGCATCTGCACACAGGAAGTCAAATAGAGTTCAAAGAACTTCTGCATAGATCTAAGAGTTTTAAACCATATCTCCAGAATATTCTGTGCTTGTAAGATAAGTGTGCACTCCTTGAAAAAGTTGTCATATTCTTCCTGAGTATAAGGAAAGGAGAAGGAATTCAGGGTGAAGAAGTCATCTCCTCTGATGTGCAAGCTGACCTCCGGAGCCAGGACCACAGCCTGGTGGCCTCGGGAGTGGAGCTCTCTCACCACGTCCCTCATGCTGAGCCAGTGGCTGCCCTCCATGGGCACCACCAGCACTTTCCAACCCTCAGCCCACGGCATGACACACACCACAAGCAGCAGCCTCACCAGCCCTTGCCATGGCACCCGCAGCACTGTGGCCATGTCTCCAGAAGCCGACAACTCTGGCCTTTCACACAGACCAGGCTCTGCTTTGTCTTCTTCATGTTCACTCTTTTATTATGAGCAAAATGGCCTGTGATTGGAAGACGGGTGACCTTCCTATGTTAATCACTTCAGATTACCATCCTCCTCTTATGTCTCCCGCCAGGGAGTGATCGATCTTATCGCTTCTTTTCTGGTACAACTCCTCTGACCTCTTACTCTCTCTGAGTGGGACATTCGAGTTCACCCGTTATTCCTCTGAATCCTCATAGAAGGCTCCTATCTTTTTACATCTTCTATTCTGTCACTCACTTGCAGAAAGGCTGTCACAGACCTCTGAGGATTGAGCCATACCTTGGTTCCCAATGTTCCTTCAGCCCGAGCAGTGATCCGAGCCAGGAACTTTCCACCTTGCCTTCCTCTCACCAGCAACGTGGAATATAGCAGAGATCCCAGGATGTGGTCGAACCAGCTTGCACCAAACACCAAGGTGGCTGTTGGTGGTCTGACCTAGTTCACTTTGTACAGCAGGATATCCCTGCCGAGCTCAATCTATTTAAATGTCAGAGGCACATGGAGGGAGCTGGAGGATTGAGGAGAGCTGGATGGCCTGAACAAGAGACCTGATTGGGTGCTGCTGACAGGTCCACACTGTGCTGCGCATCTAGCCCATGGCAGTGAGTTTCCTGGCATGAGATGCACAGCTTAGAGAAGGCGTCCCTGCCGCACTCGGTGAAGTAAATGCTACATGTTTGGGGCATATTTTAAAAAAGTACATTTGAGGATCTTAATACATGAAGATTCCAGAATGGTCATCGTACAGGCCTGTGATTACTAACTTTCAGAGCGCGCACACTCACGCCTGCTAGAGAACTCCTCACTCTGTGGTAGGTCAGGCTGGGAACAAAACAACTTCACTGTAAACAGACATGGAAAAGTAAAGCCCAGAAGCGTTAGAGAGTAGAAGAGATTGAGAAATGTTGCTCTAGGATGAACCATCTGCCTCCACAGCAGAGGACGAAGGCATAGGAGCAAATAAAAGGGAGGGGGAATCCAGAGAACACAGGCAGTCTAGAGTGCAGAGAGTGGACCGAGATTGTGCACTGGTCAGGGCCACCACGGAACTGTTTTCCACCATACAACATGTAATTGTGTTGCATGAACTGAGGGCCCCTGGAGAAGGCCTGATCTCTACTGCTTAGGAGTCAAAGTCTTTTTCCAATCTCTGTGAACCACCGTAAACTTCCCCTCTGATTGGAAATGCCCTGATCTAGCACCTGTGCCCTTGGGAGCTCTTTCTGAACTTCGAGTTCTGCGTGCCCCAAAGTCGGTCAGAGGTGCTTAAGGAAAAGAAAGTCACTTTCCATTGAAGACTGTCATCTTGGGAGAGCACTGCAGGTACGCTATGGACATGAACTTGTAGGTCACTGATGGGCAGGAAGTTTCACAACAGCAGGGTTGGAGGTGGCCAGAGGAGGCGGAGCTTCAGCTGCCCCCCTGGCTTCCCTGAGGATGCTGACCCCGAGGGTGCTCCGTGCAGTCACACTGCCCCAGAAGGCAGTGCCTGGCATCAGCTCTGCCCTAAGAGGGCCCTCAAGAGAATTTTCCCATTCACTTTCTTCATCTGTTTCTTTCTTATCTTTCCTTTTTTACTTAATCTTTAATTTTTCTTCGTCTCTCATCTCCTTTCTAAATCTTTAGTTTGATCTTTCCTTACCCCTTGTCTTTTTTCCTGTTATGGTCTCCCTGTACGAACCTTTCCTTTCCTTTCATTCATTTTTAAATCTTTAATTCGAACTTCTCTTTCTCTTCATTATTTTCTCATTTATATATTTTGACACATTTTTTTTACGCTTTTATACCTAAAAATTCCTCTCTTCATTAAGTGGTATGATTTTCTATTGCTTGGTACTATTTTTGTCCATCTACTTATGTGGTTACTGATATGCATAGTTTACTCATTAGGTTGTTACCCTATTTAAAGACCAAGTTACTTTGTATGTCACGATTGTTCCTACCACGTGTGTGATGTTGTCTGAATGCCTCTTGAGATTGAGGCCAGTGCTGGGAGCATGCTAAGTTGGTTCCCTATTGCTGAGCTACGAGTCTGGCCTACATCAACAAACCTTGCTTTATGCAGCCCCAAACTGGTCTGACTAGAATGTTGGTGAATCGAAACAACCAATGAAAAACAACAATATGACCTGAACCAGGACCTATCTTGCTATAATCACTCTGCTATAAATGTTCTCACTTTTCCTATCAAAAGACACAGACCTCTCTGTGAGGTTGAGCAACAAGATGCAATGTTTGTTGTCTAAAATAAATTGCTCTGCTTGCAAATACATCCAAAGAATGCAGCTGAGAGGATGAAAATATTATTCTAGTCAAATGGATTCTGAAACCAGGCAGAAGTAACTATACATGTGGCCAAAAGAATAGACTTCAACAAAAGTGAGTTAAAAGATGCAAAAAGTCTACACAAATTGATAAAGTGAACAAACCATGATGATACTTGTTTTTTCTGATTAGTTAGGTACTGAATACAGAGGCATGTACTTTCATAAACAGAACTGTATGAGAAAGAGAGCCAGAGAGAGAGAGAGAGACAGAGAGAGGGAGAGAGAGACACAGAGATCCTAGCACAGTAATAATAGTTAATGCCCTCATTATGCCACTCACCCACTCAGGTATCCTCCAGACGTCCCCTCCCCCCCAAAGTCAACAAACTTTAGAGTTAAATGACTCTATAGGTCATTTGGACATGGAGACATTTACAGTGCTTTCCACTTCAATGCTACAGAATAAAAAGTATTGGGATTTTGTGTGGGTAGTTCCCATATTTGCACCCACCTGGGAAATTTAAAGACTTACAATGACCACATCAAAGAAGAAAAGTTAGAAAAGGGCAGGCATAGAGGTCAATA